CCCACCCCATAAAGGCAGGTGCCATTCGCTCTGCAGGGCCTTGGTCCTCGTACTAAGCTGTAGTCCAGCTATTTTTTTCTGGTTCTTAGCCTCCTATTTCCTAATGATGATGCAATCTAAGCTGTGGATCAGCTATTTTTTTCTGGCTTCTTGGTCTCCTATTTCCTAATGACGGTGCAATCAGTTTTCGGGTGGGAGATTCCTAGTGAGAAGGCTTGTTGTTATTTAAGGAAGATCATTAAATCCATCCTTAATGAAAGGACAGAAGAAAACCCTTCCACCAAGTTACACTGAAGCCTGAGATTATCATTTTTATGGGCTTCCAATCTTTTCTGCCTCATGTCTTATCAGCAAATGCAGCTGGAGGCTTCAAAAACCCTCCCAGCTTGCTGCTGATTTTATGGGACGAAGATTAGAGATGATCGGATAGTAAATTATTCATTCCATTTGATATCGCTGGGCAGGAGGGAATATCCAGAGCGAAGTCAGCTCCCTTCTCCCTTTCTGAGCATCACGTATTGGGATCCCGGCTATCTGCCACTCCAGCAATGCAGCGGCACTTTCCCCTGTGCTCAGAGATAATTAGGGGTGCAATATGTCCTCTGAACAGATGGGAAAGCCGAGGGGGAATCGTGGATGCAAGCTCATCCCCCAGCAATCAAGCAGACTAGAGGCAGGTGGATTTTGTTCTTGTTTCAGGGATTTTTAGTTTGATTCCTCCCAGCTCCGGGCAAGGTGGGACAGATCAGGTAGGTGTTTTCTCAGACTAATTCTCCAGGGTTGTGGGATATGAGGCTGATGTGAACGTGGTGTCAGACCCCTGGCAGCTATTGACCCCAGGGGCAGAGGAGCAGGGAGCTCAAAAAGGACAAATCCTGGCAGCTGTGTGCAAACAGGCAGCTGGATAGAGAAGAGAGCCCATTGCTGCCCTTAGATGTACGGAGCAGCAGCGTCAGACCCCAGCACAGGCAGTGGCCAGCATGAACACTGCCCAGAGATCTATGCCAAAAATCAACCGGGGTAAAAACCGTCATAGAGAGGGTCCCATGAAATACACAGGGGCCACGATGGTGCTACTGAGCAGACCTCAAGAGAAAATGAAGGGTGTACCTGGTGCCTGGTGCTGGTGCCATCTCTGGGCCCTATCTCAGACAGCTGCTGGGTAGCAGCTCCTGGCGAGTGTCCTGCCAGGAGCAGTCTTGGCTGACCCCAATGGAGCATCCAGGCTGCCTGGGAAAGAAGTGGAAAATCCACATGCTCCCCAAATGAGGAGGGATTACGGCCACCACCATGCCACCCCCTTCTCCCTGCTGCTTATTCAACGCTCACAACTAGCATCAGACCTGAGGGACTCATGAATGGTCTAATAAAATGTGAAATAAAATGCAAAGATGTGTGTGTGTGGGGTGTTTAGGCCTGGTGTGTGTGTATGCAGGAGGGGAGCAAATAATAAAATGCAAAGATGTGTGTGTGTGGGGGGGTGTTTAGGCCCGGTGTGTGTGTATGCAGGAGGGGAGCAAACGGCCCAGCTGAACCCTGGGCTGGTGGGGGGAGGATGAGGCCGGTGTGGGGCGATGCCCCATTGCCACACCATTGACATCAGGGTTTTCATCAGCACATAAATAAGAAAATATATTACTGTTTAAAGACATTTCTAAAGAAGGGAAGTGGGATACAGAGCTGTGATGGACAAGAATCCTGAGCAGGGTCTGCTTTTTTCTGCTGCCATTTATTCATATTGGCACACCAGGCCAAGAAAATACAAAGGTTGTAGCTTCTGGCTCTCCCTTGACAGCATCCATCCTAGGCAAGATTTGAAAGTCAGTGTTGAAGGGAGATGAAAAAATTCTGGGGTAAGTAAGGAATATTTGGGTTTGATGGCAAACGTCAAAAAACCCAAGTAATTAAATGTTGGGTTTGTGGGGTTTTTTTTCCTTTTCTTTTTCAAGCAGCTATTGAAACATAACAAATTCATCATTACTTTTTTTTTCAAGGAAAAATACAATCTCTTCTTTAGGGGATGTTCAGGCTTGCTCTCGTCTATTTTCTTTATTTTTATGGCTCTTTCTGAGAGAGGGGGAGGAAATGGAGAGGAGGAAGGAAGGAAGGAAGGAAGGAAGGAAGTGAAAGAGAAAGAAAAATAACCTCCATTAAAACACAGAGCCCCACAACATTTTTCAAAGAGGAATTGACATCTGTGCTCTGAGCCGTATGACCCAGAAACACATTTTAGGCTCAGGAATGTTGCCTTGAGCATATGTTAATTATGCCTAAATTGACATATTTCCTAGGGCAAAAAAATGTCAAATTTTGGAGGATATCGGCTTAAATCCTGAAATTCCAAGACCCGCTTTGTGCAAGACCTGTTGTACAGGCAACTGCTCACATGGGTCCCTAGGAGGGAACTGAGCTGACTCCAGATCTGCTTGAGTTTGACTAAATGCTGCCAAGGTGATTTGCCCTTCTGTGCCTCAGTTTCCCTCACCTGTAAAATGGACCTGTAGGGCTTTGAATCACCACGGCTGGGTGATGCTGAAGGCTTAAATGAGAGAGGCAGCAAGATTTCCAGTGTGCTGCAGCAGAAACACATAGCTTCTCATCTCCGCGAGTCCCAAGCCACGGCCAGAATGACAAAAGGAGAAGCTGGCTGGCAAATTATTTGCTGAAACTTTGCACTTTGCCCCTGCAACAGGGCTGCTACCATTACAGTGACTTGTTATTTCTCATCCCCCCAGGCCAGACCCAGGGATATGCAACCAAGCAGGTGCCACAGGAGCTTTGGGACACAAGAGCACATACCTTCCTAATAGCTGCCGTGGGCAAAAGAAGATGCATTGGAGTGCAGGGGTGCTTTGAGATAAGCAAAGGAGCGATCCTCTAGCCTCGTCAGCAAGCCCAAAACAATTAAATAATTACAATTCCTTAAATTGCGTATAAATGTGGGAATGTGCAATGGTAAAGTGGTTTTTGCTCTTCAGGAGGGAGCCAAGAGCAACACCCCTGTCTGGAAGGCACAGCAACCCTGCCTTCATCTCGGGGTCTGGTCTGTCACGTCCTGTCCCCCCAAACACACCACGGGATACAAGTAGATCCTTGAGACATCCCTGTCCTTGGCAAATCAGCCCCAGATCCCTGGAGCTGGGCTGGGCAGAGCCCTGGGCTGAGAAGACAACCTGGAGTAGGTGTGGAGGAAGACCAGAAAGAACCCCGAGCGACACGCCACAGCCCCAGGCATGGCTGGGGGGCGGATGGTAGTAGCAGAGAGAGGTCTCAGACCTTGATTTTTCCAAGGGCAGGAGCAGGACTGGCTTCTCTAGGTCTCTGATCTGCTGATAAAGCCTTCTGCTCTAAACAGCTAGGTTTTTTCCTGAGGTTTTGATAAGAGACAAGCAACAAGCAGGCAGCAAAGCACGCAAGCTCTGCATGCTTTCCCGGATAGATAACATGGAAGCAAGTTATGGGGAAGCCAAAGTTCATTCTCATTTTTGTTTCTTTGCAAGCCATTCCTTTTCCTCTGTAACAGGACTAGATTGCTTTTACAGGCCCTTGTTATGGGCAGGTCCCTGTCGTGCCACTTCCTTGCCGGGTGCAACAGGAGAGCCCCTGCCCTGTGGAATTCATAAGCAAAAACTAGAGGGTTGGAAAGGGGATTATCCCACGTTGCAGGTGGGGATTTGGCCATGGAAAAGAATCTGGGAGAGAGACAGGAACTGGCCTTCAGTCTTGTACAGCTCAAGTCAGCTCCAGCTTGTTTTCAGGATAAATGACATTATTCTACATCCAGGGGAAAGAGGAAGGATGAAGGAGGGCAGTCCTGCACTGGTGGGTATGTAGTCCCAAGGGTTCTGCACATCACCAAGTGTGGGTTCCTTGTGGGTGCCCACGTGGGGACCTGGCACCCAGGTGTAGTCCCTGTGGGGGGGACCACCAGACCCGAAGGCTGGGAGCTCAGGTGCTGCCAAGAGGGGTGCTCAGCGGCCCTGCAGGGCTGGGCTTACAGAGATGCTACAATGCACCATGAGAAGAGTGAGAACAAAACCACTGGCTTACAATTAAAAAATTTCCTTCAGGAGTAACTGAAGTTGCGCATCCATGAAGCCAAATAGCTTTTATTCTTCCTGCAGGGTGGGTTTGTCAGCTGTCCAAACCTGGATTGGGCTGGGAAGCTGCTTAACTCAGGACCTGCAACCTTCCCTGTCCTGCAGCATCTGTGCAGCTGATGTGAAGGGCCAGCCTTGCTATCTGCTAAAGGTCTTTGTGTGTTTCTACCTCTTCTGGTGTCAAAGAAATTTTGGAAATGGCCCTGAAGGCTCAATAAAATAAACAAGTGTTTGCACTGTTTAAAGGTCTTTCATTAAACAAGTCGTGGGAGGCACTACTTGGCATCGATCTGTTTTATTAAAGGGATGTTTTTAAGCCACAAATGTGTTTTGCCGGGTTGTTAATGACACTTACTGAAAGGAAAAGAGCAAGGAAGAAAGTGGGGGCCATGCCAGGCAGCTCCTTGCATCCCCAGGACCCAAGGTCCAGTGGGGTGGGAAGGGATGTCAGAGCTGGGGCATCGCTGGACCCTCCGGATCTCCTGCTGCGGGGAGGGGGACTTGGGGGACACCCAGGTCCTGTTCAGCCACCTTCCCCAAGTGCGCTAGAAGAGAGATTTACCCATCTGGGCGTTGTTTCTTCCTCCTGGGCTGATGCAAATATTTTGTGCCTGAGTCCCCTTCCACACCCTAAGGGGACTGTCAGGTGCAAGTCACCGTGCCCCAAGTTCCCCGTCAGCCTCCATAGGAGAAAGAAAGAGGCACCTCCTTCCACCCCTTCCCGCAGCAGGATTTGAATAACCAGGTGGGAGCATCAGCCTCCCTCGTTAATGCGTTTGATAATTGACCAAGCACTCATTCCTGTGGGAAGGCGACGTGCCCAAGCGCAGCACCCTGCGAGGAGGGGCTGTGGTCGGCTGCTTCTCCTCGCCCTGAGAACCCATGGTCCTGCCTGCCGCCATGCCTGCCCGTTGCCTCCTCCTCCTCCTCCTAGGGCTGCTCCTGGTGCTGGAGCCTGCCTGCTGCCAGGAAGGTAAGTGCAGGCAGCTGCCTGACCTCCTGGGGAAACTGAGGCAGGGGGAAGGCCGGAAGGTGTGCCGAGCCACGGGTAGGTGGGAGCTGCTCGCTGGGGTGGCTCTGGGGACAAGGGATAGTTGTGAAAGAACCTCTTGGGAAAAGAAAAAACATCCCCGTTCCTGCCTAAACTTTAGGTCCAACTTCACATCAGCAGGCGATAGGGACGGGTGGGTGCCTGGTGGGTTGGGAGGTCTTACCGGAGCTGGGGCACGGAGACTTTCTACCTGTTTTGCCGAAGGCTGAAACTGCCGTCCGAGGTTTATCTTACCTGCTTACATGGAGATAAAGCCGCTCTGATTTACCTCTGGCAGGACTGTGCACTGAGATGAGTAATCTGTTTTCTTAACGCTATTTTTTTCTTTCTTTCTTTCTTTCTTTCTTCTCACTCTTGTCCCTGGGCAAGCGTTGCACTGGGTTGCTCCTGGAGCTCGCAGGTTTTCCTGTTAATCTGTAATTTTGATCATTGCCGAGGTGAGGGAGGAACTATTTTCTTCTGCAAATTGCCCTCCTGTTCCCTTCCTGAAGACTTAATAGAGAAAATTCCTATGGCTAAGGCGTCATTTTTAGGAAATTCATGGAAGGATTTGTCTAATGCTAGAAATAATGAGGAGTAATTAAACTCATCTGATGCTGCCGAAGTCCTGGAAAATTCCCTCCCCCTTTCTCCTTCTGATGCCCCATCCCTGACCTTCCTGTATTTGTTTACCAACTTGCAGAGGATTTAACAGTCTGGGGTCTCCACTGTCAGCAGGATTAAAAGTTTTGCTGTAGCCTGGAAAGACTTAAAAAAAAAAAAAAAGCCTTTAATGAGGATTCAGAGCCTGGCACAGCTTCCTCAGAGAGTGGAAAAGACAGGGGCCAGTTGATGCTTTCCAAGCACTCAGGGAAGTTGTATCAAAAAGCAGATCTGTGTCTTCAAACTAGCCTTTGAGTATGGAAATGGAGTTACAACACGTGCAAGGGCTTATATTGGCATCGGCACTTTCCTTGGTCTCATTTGTAGCTGCAGATATGTGGACACATGTCTGCCAGGGTTGCAGATCGCGCATGGCTTAGTTTGGCTTAGAAGATCTTGTTTGGGAGAGAAAAACACATCATTGCTGTGGGGCAAAACAGAAAGGAGGTGGCAGAGCCCGAGGGACAGGCTGTCCCAGGAGGGATATCCTTGGTAAAGCATTTTTCCAGGAACATGGTCTCGTTTCCACAGGTGAGACTCATCCTTTCGGCCATCCCTCGTGGCAGGGCAGCAAGGTGTGCTCTGGTGGGGGGCCTCCAGTCAGGCAGTGCCTCCCAGGGCTGTGATCAGCATACTCGCTCCCCGAGAAGATGCTATCAAGCTTTTGTCTCCTCCTGGTTCCCATTCCTCCTTTCTTATGCCCACGTAGAGTTCCTCTCACCCACATGGGTATTTCAGCCCGAAGCGGAGGCATTTGCTATTTCCCACTGCCATCTTCATCTCCCCTTGCAGCCAGGGTCTACATGATCTCTCAAAGCCAGAACTGCTTGATTTTGGTTTGGTATTTTTCCTTTTGGCTTTGGATGCTCTGAAATCTGGTGGAAACAGCCATCTGAGTGAGGTTTCACTTGCGAAAACAGACAGTACCTTCTGAGCACAGCTCCTCGAAGGAGATTTCCTACTACCTATATTCTCATCTCCTTTCCTTGAAGATCACGAGATGCAAATTTGACAATTTTAGTCATCACTGACTTCATTCCCTGATTGACCTTGAACTCCCTTAACCCCAGCAGAAATCTCTCAGAGGGCTGGACCTGACCACCCCCTCCTAGGCTTAGGCTGGAAACCCTGTTTTGGAAAAATAAAAATACAACTAATAAGTAAATGTGGCTGAGATAACAGCCAAGGGCAGAGCAAGGGAGGAAATAAAGTGGGCAAAAGCTCAGCCTGGAGGCAATAGGTGTGTTCGGGGCTGCACCTGTGGGGGTGGTGGGTGGCAGGGGCTGGAGCATCCCTGTCCCTTAGGTAGGGCAGGAGGGGACCAAACCCTGTTCTTCCTCCCTGGTACTGCCACCAGCAGCCTGCTGATACAATGGGATTTCAGCCAAAACACAGTGAATTTCTGCCTGAATTCCTCCCGCTTAAGTTTTTGGCCACGGGACCTTGCAGTAAACACATCAAATGTCTCTGCGGGGAGGTTGAAGGACCCTGTTTGGGGGTCCTCTCGCAGACACTTGCCCGGGGATGCCACCACTTTTCGGACTGGCACAGGCGGTGAGTCAACCGACCAGGCTGATCTCACTTCCAAGAGGAAAAAAGCTTTGTTTTGTGTGGTGTTTTTTTTTTGGTTTTGTTTTTTTTTTTTTTTTAAATAAAAGCCTCTTGCAGTAAGTACTTAAGGAGCTGGGGGTCTTCCCAAAGGACAGTGCCCCTCCCCAAAACCAGAGGAAGGAGATGAGGACTGTCAGCAGCAGAACCAGCATGGAGCTGGCTGTGGATGAAAGTTTGCACGTGTAGAGCACACAGCCCACATTTATTGCCGCCAGTAAAGATTATTTGATGTTTATAGCAGAGATTTGTCTCCCGTGAGACAGAAGAAGTGTTCAGGCTAGTGTAAAGCTCCCGAGATAGGTTGAAGTGCTGATGCACCCATCCTGGGGCAGCTCGGCCTCATGGGTGCTGATGGCAGAGGCTGGGCTCAAGTGGTCCGAGGCTGATGCTGGGGCTGGCGGGTAGCATCCTCCACCTGCCCCATCTGCCCGCACAGAGGGACCTCATTTATGTGCAAAGGTTGGAGTTTCAATCAGTGGAAAGAAGAAAAGCCGTGCCCGAATAAACAGCAATTAAATCCCAGAGATGTGTCTGGGTGGACAAGGGCTGCTTTTGGTGCCGATGTGACAACACTTAAAGATGGGTTTGACTATGTCTGAGACATTCGTTGCCCAAATGCCAGTGGGAGGCAAGGAGCAGCCGTCCCAGCAAGGACTGGGACAAGATTTCCTCTTCTCATCACCCTACCCTTGAGTTCCTCCCGTATCCAGGAATATGTCTTGCAGCCTTCCCACGTGTGGCTGGATCACTGCTTAGCTCTGGCTACAGAAAAACAAACCTGTGAGTCTGTCCCACCCCAGGGGGCTGGGGATGCCATGGCCGGCTCCCAGCCGCCCACCACAGCCCCCCGCTGCCCCCTGGGCCTCCGCCAGCCTCACTTGGCCTTTGCGCTGGAGGCTGTTGCTCTGAATGCTTCAGCCTCCTATTTCCCATCATAAATCAGTTTGCTGCTCTGGAAACTTATTGAATGGTGCATTTTACCAAAATCCATGCTGGCAACTGTTTGCTTTGAGAGAGACAATTGAATTTTACACCGTCCCTGTAGCGGGGTCCTTATTTTACCGGTCAGTATTTGGAAAATAACCCAGGAACAATGTCTGTGGCATCTGGAGATGGAGAATAAACAGTTTGCTGAAACCCCTCTGCCTTCTTTCCCCTGACACTTTGGGCAGATATCTTCCCTCCCTCCCTCCATGTCCCCCAGCCCTTTGTTCCCTCATCCCAGAGTCATCTGTGCCCCACTGTGTACATATATGTATGTATACATGGGGCCCCAAAGCTGCAAGGCACCACGCTCCACATGCAAAGGCCAGCAAAACTGCTGTTATTTGCACTTTATTTCATTGCTGTCACCCAAGTAAGCCTGCCTGGATTAACAGTAACATGCTCTGCTTGGCTTTGCAGGATTGGGCTCTTGGCTGGATGTTGCTGAAGCTGGACAGGACAAGCTCGGCAGATAAAGCCTGAGGATGTATTTCTAACACGTGTCCTCTTTTTTTTTCCTGCAGCCAAGGGCAGTCTCCAGCCATGGTCACAGGGTGTCATCGCAGTGGTTGTGTTTCTAGTCCTGGTGGCCATCGCTTTTGTGGTCAATAGGTTCTGGTGTAAGGAGAAAGTGTAAGTGTTGGAGCCCTGGGGGTTGCTTTGGGTTGGGCTTAGCTGCCTCTGCACGGATCACTTCCAGCTGCCTCCATCCCTGTGCCAGGGCTGGGAACACTGTGATCGCTGTGCCAGGAACCAGGTGGGGAGAGCAAAGACTCCCTGTCCTGGTCTCCCTGTCCTCCCCATCCTGTTCTCTGCTCCCTGTTACTTATTACCAGGCGTGAGTTTGCACCGTCCAGATGCTGCCATGAGAAAGCACTGTGCTTAGGATGGGAGAGCTGCAGCATCGTGGCTGGTTTACATGGGCACGTGTCTTGTGGGTCTTGCCTGAGCCTGGTTTCCTATGGATTTGGGGATGTAGTTCCTAGATGCCTTATATCCATGGGAAAACAAGCCCAAAACAGCTTCATTTGCAAACCAGACTGGGTCAAGTTGTCAGAAGGCACTGAGAGGGGCTGGGAGAAGAGGGAGGTAGCTGATCCATGGCAATGCTCTCCACCTGGAGCCCACGGCACAGGGAAACGAGGTGGCCTTATTCATCAGAAAAAGGCTCTGTGGGACTGGTTACCTCTTGCCCGCTGCCAGCCTAGCAAAGCCACAGACTGCTGCTCCTGCTTGGCTGACCCAGACTAACAAGCAGTAACTTGGTCTTGAATCTGAGCCAAAAGTCAACAACGGATGAAGACTGAAAGTGCCCTATAGCCTGGTTCCTAGTTCTTCTGCACCAGCATGGGCGCTTTGGGCTTTGCACCCAAAGGCGCTGGAGTCTTCTTGTGTCTGTGTATCCCTGCAGCCTCTCCAGGACGAGGAGGTGGGGAGTTGAGGTGTTCCCTGATGCTCAACAAGTCGACTTCTGCCCCAGCTGCCTTTAAAGGGGACCCTTTGGGATGCATTCAGGACCAATCCATAACACAATATGTGTGTGTGTGTGTATATATATATTTATATGGTCTGATTTGCAATTGCATCTCTGTTTCCCAAAGGGGAACCTTTATTCTCAAACTGGAGGAGCCCCCAGCCCATGGAGTAGGAGGCAGGGATGGTGTTTCTCACTTCCGCCCATGCCCGGCTGGCCCTTCCCAGCTCGGAGGTAGAGGATGCTGAGGAGGTCTTGAGGGGGAATGGCGGCTTGTTTTAATTAATCTAGCCTCTCTTCAGAAGAGCGGACAGCGAGGCTCAGCAGCCTGGCGCACTGCCAGCTCCGGGCTGTCACTGTGACAGCAGCTATCAGCTCAAGCCGCTGCCTGTTTATGCCAGTCTGTTCCTTGGAAAAGCCTCTGAAATTGCCTTTGGGTGAGCGCTGGAGGAGGCGGGGATGTGCACACAGGGTGGACCTGCATCCACTCTCCACAGCTAACCCCCCCAGCACCATCTGGGCCACAGGCTCACCCCAGAGCTGAGCTTTTAGGCACCGGCTGAGGTTGAACACACAGTACATGCCCCATGGTGCCTTCTGCGAGCGATTCCAGAATTGCGTCTGCAAGAAGGCAGCTCAGCTTTGCACACGCAGATGTGCACGCGTACATCCCTCCTGCGCCAGGGCTGCGGCACTGGCAGAGCCTCGGCCTTTCTCTTGGTGTCCGTTGGTACCTGTAGGGGACTATTTTGCAACAGATTACATAGAAGACGACTGGAAAAACCAGTTAGTGGGAGAAAACAATCCCACGTATTGATAAATGAGTCTTGCCGACTGCCAGGCCGGTACTGGGAGTACCAGCTCCAGAGACAGGGCTTGGCACTTGGTGTCTGGGCACGGCACCTGCAAACCTGCCACGAAGGTGTCTCTCCTTGTCCGTGTCCTGCTGGGAAGGGAGCTGAGCTGGGTGTTTGAGGCCAGGATCACATGTCCGCGTCCCTTGTTGTCTCTGTAGTATCAGAGCAGTCCCTTAGTCCCTTCCTCTCTGCCATCAGCATTGCATGCTGCTCCCTGGCATGGCCCCTCCGTTGCTTTGTCTCAGCTCCTTTCTTCTCACCCTCCAGGGAAAACGTCGAGACAGTGGTGAGTGTTGAGGACAAGAAGGAGTCTGTCACGTCTAACAGCCACGATGGGAAATACCTAACTGCTGCAGCTGACTTCAGGTGAAGGATTTGCTCAGATCTCCTCCTCATGGCATCCAGGCTCTGTTCTGTTCCCCTGGGGACAGCTCAGCCATGCAGAGCAGTGGTCTTTCCCATTTAGTGTCTCACATGTCCCATGCACCTCGTTCTGGGGCTTTTGTCCTCTCCCGGATCTAAGGAGAACATGGTGAGGGAGTACGTCCTCCTCCCCTGTCTCTCCCCATCCCTGCAGCTGAGCCCCTTGATCCATCCACCACCTTGCAACCTGCCACACCACATTTTTCTTACACTATGTCACACCTTTCAAATAGAAGAAACCACCAAAAGTGGCCATAGGTCACCACACAGATGTTGACTGTCAAAATAGCCCTTGCTAGAAATTAGAGCAATTCCGACCCCACACTTGGCTCTTCTCCTAGCAGGAGGACCCCTCCCGCTCTCCCCACCTCACACCTCTCTCAATGCATGGCTGGCACCAGCAAGGTCAGGGCCCCAGTGATGGCTTCGGGGAGGCTGGTTTTGCTGGGGGTGAGCTCAGCCCTGTGCTTCTCCCTCCTGATGCAGGTCCAAAGAGAACGAGCACGCATACGAGAACACCCTGGAGCCTGAGGAGAGGGTGATCACCACCGCCATGTAGCAGGCACCCCGGCCAGCTGCTCTCCGTCCTCCTCTCACTTTGTTCCCGCTGTCACGATGGGCATTTTTGCAGGGACCCTCTGCACCGGCACCCACTGTGCGTGGTGGGTCCCCGACCTCTCCATGGCACCACCATCTCCTGATCTTTTTCTTTCCCACGTGCTGGACATGCTTTGCCTCGGGGGTTGGTGTCCATGTGGGCATCAGTCCCCAGGAGAAGCCCAGAGGTGCCACCTCCCTGCCCGGCAGTCACCCCACCTGGTTGGTGAGGTTGATGTCCCCAGTGCCAGGGGGGTGCTGACCTGCTCCAGACATGGAGAGGTCCCAGCTGGGTGCCTGGGACCACCCCACCCTCCCTCCCAATCACCCTCCAGGGAGCTGCTGATGGTAAACCTGCTCTTTTCCCTGTTTCACCCTCCTTTTTACAACCTACACCATGCATTTTAATGTCAGAACAAACCTTCTCCTCTGTATATATCTTCCCTGTGAGCAGTAAAGAGAATTGTTGCCCATAGGACAGCAAAGAGGGTTGTTTTGCTAATCACCTGAAGGACTTTCTGGCATCTCGCAGCGCTCCCAGCCTTCGGGCGGTTTGGGAAGGGAAGGGCATTGGGGAAGGTGACGTGGGGGTGGGAAGGGTGCTAAGACGGGGGTGAGCACCCCCATCTCCCCCGTGATCCCTCCTGGGTAGGATCCATCTCTTATTTCCTCACCTGGATGAAGCCAAGAGCGCTTTTGTGTGTCTTATGTGTCAACAGAGGAGAGAAAAAGGAGGAGGATTTTTTTTTTTTTGCTCGGTGTTCGGACCTCCCCAGAGCCATGAAGGGCCGTATGGGGAGGTGAGCGGCATTCCCCTCCATTTGCCGCATGGGGAAACTGAGGCATGGCACCAACCCAGCACTTCCCAGCACTGCTTGACGGGTGAAAGGCAGTGGTCCCTGAATCTCACCAGTCACAAGATGCAGCCTCACAGCCAACTGGGGACCATTCCCAGGGCTGGAAGCTAGGAATGGCTAGCACTTATAGGTGTTGCCAGGATGTGGCTCGGGGGCTGCTCCAGGTGGTGCTGGCTCTCCCTGGGGCAGCCAGCCATGGTGCATCCCACTCCTGCCAGGCTCTTCATTAATCAGGGTCCATTTTTTTGCTGTAGTGGGGACAGCTCTGGGGAAGCACTTGGATCACCGTGTGAACAACGAGTGCTCCCAAGCTGGATATTTGCAGGTTGAAGCGAGAGACCCAAGAAGTGTGCAGCATCCTCCCCTTGACCAGCAGGGAAAGGGTTAAGGGGCTCTGCAATCCAGGAGAGCCTGGGGGCTGCAGGTGGAGCAGGACTGGGAGGGATGGGATGGGATGGGATGGGATGGGATGGGATAGGATGGGATGGGATGGGGGGTTATAAGAGAGGCACTTTTGGCAGCCCCTGGGTTTGAGGGGAGCAGGATGGTTTGGGGGCTCTGCTGTGCTCAGGGCTGTGCAAACACAAGGGGGATGAGGTGGTAGAAGGACATCAGGTGCCTGAGCCACCTCTTGCTCTTGCTTTCTGACGGTGGATGCTGAGCATTGGGGCAAGGGGAGGTTTTAGACCTGCTGTGAATCAGCAGCTGTAATAGATTTGGGTCTGGGGGAGCCCTGGTCTCTGGTCAGGAGGTGCTTTGGAGGCCCTTTTGCAGGCAGCAATGCCAGAAACAGGCAGTCAGGGTGTTGGGGTTGCAGGTGCCTCTTTGGCTCTCACTAGCAAAGCTCCCGCTCTTCGTGTTTCAAACTTGAATGGGCTTTCCTGCTGCAAGGGCTGTCCCCTGCTCCTCTGCACTTGCCAGTGACCTTAAAAGCCTTGAGCCTGTCCTGGAGGAGATGCTGGCCAGTGCAGCACAGGCAGTGGGCTTCTTCCTCAAGCAGGGGTTTGCAAAACATCCTGTTTTCCTGCAGCACTGAAACCTGCCAGGTATTCCCCGAAGCGAAGATGTGACAGTCCTGGTGGGGAGGTCAGCCCAAAGCAGGCCACCTCCCACCACCAGGAGCTCTCCAAGATGGAGCAGGGAGATGGAGCTGGACCCTGGTGCCACCACTCTCCATGAGCCGCTCTCTCACTTCCCTCATGTGAAGCTGCCGATGTCCCTAGTGGGTGGTGACACAAAAATTTGAGCATGGGAGTAAACCAGGAGCCTTCCAGTAACAGACCCACCCTGAAAGGCATCTCCTCAAAGAGCCTCAGGTAGGCAAGCATTTCGAAAACACCCTCAAGAGTTGGTGTTGAGAAATCACAGCTCCAGTTGAGAAATTGCGTGGGGGTAGAAGAAAACAAGCAGAAGGGTTGGAGGGGTCAAGCCCTCCAGTGCAGAGCCACAACAGCTGCTGTCCCCAGCATCATGTCAGAGCTGCTCACTTCTACCACCTTCCTTTGGGCAGCTGGAGGCTGAACCAGCCCCAGACTGGGTCCTGGACCTCCCCACTCGTGTCCCTGATGGATGCTGCTCTCCTGACTTTTCTCTGGCAGGTGCCAAACGTCACGAGGGTTTGGAAAAAACAAGCTCCCCAGAGCTCAGTGGTAACGCTTGGCTCAGCAAGGTTTAAGGAGGATTAGTCATTGAGTGCTCTCGCCGTGTCAGCACTCGGGCTGGGGGTGTGGTGAGAGGCGGGGAACCCATTAATTTTTACCTCTCGGTTGCAAAAGGAGTTAGAAATGGCATCCTTATGATGAGTAACAGCTGGAGTTTATTCCTTGCCTTGTGCACACCCTGAATATGTGATGAATGCCCAAGTTGTTTCCCTGGTGGTGTCTGGGTGTGGGTTTGGAATGGAGGTGTGCTGGGGGCTCAGTGGGTCCCTTTTCTCCACGAATCCCTCCCACTATCATAGGTCCAAGCAAGGAAAGGGATGGGGCTTTATCGCTGCACCGTTTGGCCTAGCCTGGGAACCTTGATGCTTGGTCTTCTCCTAGCCAGTGCCCCTTTAGAGTTCACTTTCCTGGGGAAAACATCTTTTGCAAGAGCCAGGGTGTTATCTCTCCAGTGGGACCTCTCCTCTGCACAGGCCGTGGTGCTGTCCTGCCTCAGTTTCCCTTGTCCGTCAAGCACAACCCAAGGCTGGCTGTGCGAAGCGGGCTGCCTACCCGTGAGCCGCGCAGCCGGCTCATGGCTGCTTCTTGGTGTGATCCTAAAAGGAACAAAAGGGAGCAAGCATAAATGAAATTTATTGTTGGGAAATCTTAATTAGATTTTAAGCCCCAAAGGGAGAAAAGTGAGGTATTATCTGACAGAGCTAATGAGTGTTAAGGGTCCATTGTTATATTTCTTGTTTACCTTTCTGTGCTGACTGATACGGCCCGGATCCTCGCCTGTACTGCCATAATTAGGATATCTCATCTCTCACTGATAGGGTCGGGGATGCTCTTTAAAGTACAATGCTGTCTCATCCCTCCCTGGCAGGATGAGCGTGATCAGGAAGGCAACTTCTGGCATGCCGGTGCTTGTGCCTGCGGCATTGACCCTGTAAGCTGGGGGATGTCCTCCAGAACTGGGGCTGTACCTGACAGCCCCCAGGTGATGGGCACTTCCAATAGCCTTGGTGACCTCTCTGAGGGGCCCCAAGTCAACTTGCCTGGGGGTCAAATCCACTCCAGAACCTCTCTCCACGCAGCACAGGGGGTGACCATGTCCTCCGCAAGTCACCCCACGCCCACTGATGAAGGGGAAGGACACCAGTGGGTACCCCATCCTACCACTCGCTCCATAATGCCAGCATCTCTGAAGTTTGGGCTTCAGGAAGATGTTCAGGGTTGGCACCTGCTGTGGACAGGATAGTCTACTCTTGGGCAGAAGATATTCAGAGTGGTCTTTTTGCATTGCCACCTTGTTACAAGATGTATCACAGCTTTCCTTTGTGGTCTAGGAGGGTGCAACTCATCTCTTGGACCCCCAGATAATGGAGCATCTTGTTGAAAGCCACCTTTACTCTGATGCTTCCCCAGACTCTCCTGATGTTCTTTAGCCGTGGAGGTTTAAGATGTTTCTGTTCCAGCTCTGACCACAACTCTGGAGCAGCTTGGGCAGGTGGACACCTGACATACAAATTATTCCAAGGTGGTTTGATTAAAGACTTGCTGTATGCAGGTAAACTGCTGCTGGAAGACCATCAGCTCCAGCTGTGTCCCTGAGCAGCATAGCTTGGGGTTTATGTCCTGGCATTGGGCACCTTGACACCCAAGCGATGCGATTTGGACCTCCAAAAGCAAAAAGGGAGCTCATCCCACCATCGCGGTCCTTTGGGCCGGGGAAGGAGCCCAGCCACCCAGGTGGGAGCTGGCAGCGTGGTGTGTAGGGGTGGCTGTGTGTGGGCAAGGGGGCTGCAAAGTTTTTGGTCTCAATTCAAGCCACTGAAAGCCAGAAGTAAAATACCATCCATTGTTGGTTTATACACCCGTAGTAGCCAAACAAACATCCCCGGAGCCTGTCCTTATCACTTTATTACACCTGCTAGAGTGAATAGATTAAAGAGGATGGGGGAGGGGGGAGAAAGCAGAAGAATCCAGCAGAAAAACTGGGTTTTGGGATTGTTAATTATTCTCTGGGGTCTCTAATCTTTAACTGGCAAACAGCAGCACTAACTGTCTTAAAGCCCCTCCTGGAACATCCTGATAATAAGCCATCTGCATGAAGGCACCCCGTTATCTGCCCTCCTCCAGCCGCCTGTGACATGGCTGGAGTGGGAGATAATGAATGTGTGGTGTGTAATAACGACACGTCATTCATGATTATCGGCCTGATACCCAACCTTTTAGCTCCATTGTTTGTGCTTCAAAAAAAGAAGAAGAAAAAAAAAAAAAGGAGAAAAAGAGAAAATAAAAAGGAGGAGGGAAAGAAGAAAAAGGGGAATTTTTGGTGCTATGGGCTATCCTGGGGTCCCCGAAGTGCTTCCCTGCCAAAGGGGCTGGGTCTTGTAGCATCTCCCAGAGGGTTTGGTGGTACCCTGGAAGGATTCGTTCGTGGATTGGCGGCTGTTGTAGCCATGGTGATGGAGGGAGAGAGCTGAGACAGCGCAGAAATGTCACTGCCTGGCAGGGAGACATTTGGGGCAAATGCTCGGGTGATTAGATCTGTGTCACCGGGTGCTGCCTGGCTCCTTGTGCTGCTTTTTGCTGTTCTTGAAGCCGTTTAGCAGTGGCTTGGCAGAGGAGGTTATCTTGAACAAGCGGCTGTCCAGAAACTGCCAGTGTTTGAAGGTGAGGGAGATGTTGGGTTGCCCGGTTTGACCTGGATAAGCTGAAAAACAGAAGAATTTTCCCCTGGTTGCCACTGCATTATGGTTCCATGATGCATTGGTGCTGCAAGGTCTTCCCCCAAAAGCTTTGGTCCTTCAAACTGCAAACTTGGGTTAAATGTGATTCTTAATGGGGAGAGACGTCAAAGTGTTTGGCTCAGGTTACCTGAATTATTGTCAGAACTGCCTGGAATAATGATCCTTTTCTTGCAGAAAAAATGGCAGTAGTTTCTCCTCTTTTTCCTGAGCAGATTTCCCAGAGCGGTTTGCCCTGGGAAGGTCTTTGCTGGAAGTGGTTGGGATTTGGCTGTTCACAATAGTCGGGAGGACTTTTGGAAACCAAACAAGCAGTCTCGGTCATGTCAGTGAATAGGGTGATGACCTCAAAACACAGGGCTGGGAGGCCAAGCAGGGCACCATGCAGATCCAGGGATGGGCAGCAGCTGTGGGTCCTCATGAGATCTAACTTTTCCTGCTCTGGCCTTATCCCCCCATGCCCAAACTAGAAGATGCTGTAGGGACACCTTCAAGTGCCATCTGGTTTCCTTTGCAACACACCACCAAGGAGACGGGGCCGGGTCTTTGTGGCCAAGCGCTCCTCAAGCTCATTGCTTGGACCACAAGTCAGAGAGTGGATGAGCAGAGCTGCAAGGTGGCTTGCTTCTTCCCAGGTGGGTGGCTGAAATGTCTGACAAATAGGGTCAGTAATGAAAAGCTGTATCAAACTGCTGCCCTCCAACAACTGCCTTGCCATGCTGGAGCTGGGGAAGGGGAGAGCTGGAGCCTGACCTTGAGACCAGCCTGAGTCCACCAGTGAAGCAAGAGCGGTGGCATTGGCATGTACGCAGTCTGCAGCAAGTCTTTTCCTGGGAGTGAGAAGAGGAGGGTCAGGAGAGGAAGAACTCTATCTCCAGCTGCCTTGCAAAATAAATACCAGCTGCACTTTGGTTATTTGCAGCATCCCTGTCCCGTTAGGTACTGAGACAGCCAAAACAAAGGTTGGGATCCAGCCTTAGAGGAATTTTGTTTCTCAAACTGAGGATGCAGCAGGCAGCGGAGATGGGGAGCAGGGAGCTGTAGGGGTTTACTCAGATGTGGAGATGCTCAGATTTGGCTATCCTGGTCTGGCCATCAGCAGAGGTGAGCTGCCCAGACAGACAGACATGGTTTCGCAGTTAGTGCCTGCATTTTTGGGTGAAATCTGGACCAACAGCCTTGTCTCTCACCGTAGCACAGCACATGTGCAGCCCTCCATGCCTCAGTTTCCCCTGATACTTCTTGAGTGCCCGGGTGCTCGCAATGCCAAGCTTTCCCTGTTCCGGGGGTAACATCACCGTCGTGCTGGGGACCGCGACAGAATGGTGCCTGGTCTGCTGCCCTGCACGGCTGAGGGTGGGAATGGGACGGGGATGGGGATGCCCCTGGGGATGGGGATACCCCCAGGGATGGGGCCCAGCCGCTGCCCTGCTGGACCTGGCCAAGATCCCTGCCAAGCCCAGGGGGTTTTGCCAGGGATCAGGGAGGACTTCGGGTTTTTCTGGGTCTCCCACTGCCACCTAGTGATGCATTTCCCACCCGAGATCTGCAGCTCACCCAGCAAGTCCTTCTTGTCCTGGGAGCCTACCTATGGCCGGTGCTGGAGCATGGGACTGCAGGGGGTCCCTGCACCCCCAAAACAAGCCCGGCCCCACGGCCAGCACCTACCTGTAGCCCTTGGGCAGCTCACTCATGTAGTGAGTGATCAGTTCTCAGCCACTGCAGAAAAGGGCTTGAGACAGACTCATGCTTGCTCTTGAGACTTCTTTTTTTTGCAAGCTGATTTTGTTCTTGCCACCAGCATTTGGGGGTGGTGGTATTTCTGTCTTGCTTTGTTTGACTCCAGGTAGTTTCATTGTTTCCTTACCACGGAAACTCCTGGAGGCAGAGGTGAGGGTTTGGTGACCCATGGCATGGGACAGGTGGAAACAGGCTCCTCAGGCTCAACGGGGAGGGGCGGGGGGGGCAAACCCACTGAAACAGCCCTTGCAGCTTGAGAAAACTCTCTTAGGGCTTCACCCTCAGGCACAGCCTTGACTCTGGGCTGCTGGGACTCATCCTGTACCCCCCTGACCCCTCAAATGCAAAGAAAGCCAAAGCCACACTTGAGGAGCATCTCCACAAGGCTTTATTCTCATTTCAGAGCGGAGCATAAAGCTGATCACACATTATTTTCAGCATGGTGAGTGCTTTCTTCAGGTTAGCTGGTGACACATCTCTGCGCTGGCTCCTGAGCACCCTCAGGTCAAGGAAATTCAGTGCTGGGGCAGAAAAACCCACTGACCTTTGTCTCCATAACAGCAGGCACAGCACCAGCCCCAAAACAGATTGGGGGAATAATTTGGAGGGTGGTGCGTGGGGATGCAGTGTGGTTGCTCTCCTGCCCTGGCACATCCAGGCTGGAGGCAGGGGAGGGATACTGTGCACGGGCCATGGCCAGGCTTTGGATACCCATGCAAACCAAGCCAGTGTTGCTCACTGCCGGGCTCAAGTGAAGAACTGACAATGGTGCAAACAGACAGGCAGGTGACAGAAATCCCACCAGGCAGTGTGTGAGGGCAGGTTGGAGGTGAGGAGATGAGCAGGACATAGAGGATGCCCGTGGAGATGAGGGCTGAGCCCAGCCATGCTGTGAAATCCCCTTGGCAGTGCTATTCCCTGTGCAAGAAGGGGACCTGGACCTGCTGGGTTCGGTGTGTGTGCAAGGGGGGCCAGCGTGCCCCCCCTGGATAGCAGTGGAGGGGGGTTTAATGTGAGAGAGGTCCAAGGTGGCCAGGGTGGGTCTGTTTGGTGTCCCCCTCTTAAACCTCTGGGTGGAGGGTGGTCCTTGGGAAAGCTCTTGCCCTCTACCATGGTACCCCACGGGATCAGCAAATCTTCTTCAAATGCAGGTGGATCCCATTGCTGGACCTGAGGATAATCTGCGGTTTCAGAATGGGAGGTTTGGATGGGTTGGGACAGAGCTCGAAGCGGAGCAGGGTCAAGGCCAGCGCCACCTTCATCTCGTTCATGGCAAACTGCTGCCCGATGCAGTTCCTGGGGAGAGATGACAAATGCTCCGATTGCTGCCTTCATCCCCAACTGCCCTCGAGCTGGACTGGGCCTGTGCACAAACTGGGGAACTTCCAGCTGCTGTGGGGATGATGCCACAGCTTGTCTAGGAAGCCCCTGATGTCACACCAAAATGCACCCAGCTCTGCAGTGGGGTATTCCTGGTTTTTATTAATAAGCATTGAAAAAAGATATGAGATTGAGAGAACTGGGGCTTGCTTCACTAGAAAGTGGTACATGGATCCAGCTAAAAACCCCAGATACCTCAGAAAGGTTATTTTGGTTCTGTGTGGAGCATCTTCTCTTGCAAGTTACTGAGACCTCAGTATCCTGAATCTATTGATACAGCATGGGAACCACAGAGACTTGGACCCAGCTTGGGTTTGAGGTGCACTGGGTATTCACCCCTAAACAAGGGAGCCCATGTTCCCAATGCAGGCAAGAGAAAATGTAAACATCTCCACAAATCCACAAGAGTGTGAAATCCTACAGTGCCCACAGAGCTTGGGGTGTGGGAAATGCCCTGGAGCTGATGGAGCGTGGTGGAGATCATGTTGGGGAAAGCCTGCTTGAGTTGGCCAAGCCAACTTGGCTTATAGGCACTCAGGGAGGATTAGCTTCAGGAGTTCAGCTCTGAGCTAGGTCTCTGATGCAAGGCAGCCTACGGGGAAGGAGAGGGATGAAGGATCTCCCACCTGGATCCAGCGGAGAAAGGCAGGAAAGCGTGTGAGTGCCTCTGTGCTGAGTTCTCCGGAGAAAACCTCAGGGGATCATAAATCTGTGGGAGCAACAAATGCCCTTTGGTCAGTGTTTGGCCTGACATGAGCAGCATCAGTTCTCCAGTCCCCACAGTAGGGCTGGATGTGACCTCTGCTCTTCCTGGGGGAGCTGCAGCTGACAGGGATCTCTACAAAGCCACTGGGTGGATGAGAAGAGGGTGCAGGTGGCTGTGCGGATCTTCCCCTTGGAGACATCCAGATCACCCACTACAGCACCCAAGGTGCCTGCAGGTGTTTTCTCATCCCTGCCAGCAATGATCAAGTCTCCCTCCGGTCCAGAGATGCCTGATCCTGTCTCTCCAGCCAGTCACTGGAGAGAGGCAGTTGTGCACCCCCCTTCAAGTTTCCCAACTATTTCTTTCCTTGAAGCCTCTAAGATACCAGCTTTGAATCACACACTGCCTGGAGGGCTTGGGACTTCTCATACCATGCTAGGACCTAAGTCTATCCAGGGCAGCTGAAAGCAGTCTGAGTATCTCTGTGTCACTGTGCATAACGGTAGACTATTCAACACCCTTTCCCAGCACTTTGTCATGTTCAAAGCCTTTGAGGTGTTTGGTAAGTTCATTGAACTTTACATTTAGATATGAACCGGGGAAAAAAAACTATGGCAGAGAGGCACAGACTGCCTTGTTCAAGGAGAGTAGATGTCTGGGCTCAGAGATCATCCCCCCCTTCTTGTTATAAAGGTGAAGTACCTCGGGGTCCTTCCACACATCCCGGTTCCTGTGAATAGCAAATATGTTCAGTCCAACTTGGCAGCCTGTAAAAGAAAAGTGAGAAAAAGATTGTGACACCTCAGAGTGAAGACCCAGGAGAGGTGTTTGTGGGGTTCTCTCCCTCCCTGGGCTCTGCAGTGGCTGTTGCAGGAGATCTGGCAGGGACAAGGCCCAGCCTGTCCAGGCAGGTCACCTCCTGAAACCCTCACATGGAAGAAACAATGGCCTCAGAGCTGGGTCCCATTTTGGCACTAGTGGATGAACTTTTACCCTTGGCCAAGAACAACACTCTGCAAGTCCCCTTTGAGGTCTGTGAACACCCCAGTGCCCTGGAGCATGTCCTCGGACTCTATCTGGTCGCCCTTCCAGGTTCACTGTGATGGCAAGCTGTAGTGGCCCTGTATAGCCCTTTGGAGAGTGAAGAAAGGCTGGAAGCCCCACCAGCCCCTTCACACAGCAGCTCTAGTGAGGATGCCCCACTTGTCATGGACAGCAGCATGAAGGATGAACAAACTCAACAGACCTGCTGGCAAGCTGCGTCCATCGTGAAATGTGACAGGTTTAGAGAGGTATCGGGACACAGAAAAAACCGGTGGGAACAGGCGCAAGCTCTCTTTGATGCACATTGTGGTGTAAGTCATCTTCCCAAGGTCCTCCCTGAAAGCAAACCGGGGTGGTCAGGCTGTGTTTGAGTGACAGCAATAGGGACACCAGCAGCCACAGCCTGTGCCACACACTGTGTGGGCTGGACTGCCATGTCTTCCATCTCCTAGTGGAGTTTCTCCTTCTCCTAGTCCTCCCTTTGCTGCCAGCATTGCTATGTGAAAAGGAAAATGTCCCAGTGCAGATGCAGTGTAAGGTGGATGAAGTTTCCTTCTCACGATCATAGAAGCACAGAATCATAGAATAGTTTGGGTTGGAAGGGCCATTTAAAGGTCATCCAGTCCAACCCCCCTGCAATGAGCAGGGACGTCTTCCACTAGATCAGGTTGCTCAGAGCCCAGGCCAAGCTGACCTTGAATGTTTCCAGGGATGGGGCATCTACCACCTCTCTGGGCAACCTGTTCCAGTGTTTCACCACCCTCACTGTAAAACATTCCTTCCTTCTATCTAGCTAAATCTACCCTCTTTTAGTTTAAAACCATTACCCCTTGTCCTATTGCAACAGACCCTCCTAAAAAGTTTGTCCTCATCTTTCTTATAGGCTCCCTTTAGGTACTGAAAGGCTCCCTGGAGCCTTCTCTTCTCCA